AATGGGACTGTAAAATCAGTGTGAGATGGGACCATTAGGGAGTTTGAGAGACCTTGACAAAACCACAAATAAAGCAGAAAATAAAATTTTGCAGTACCAAATAGAACTGAAATCAACTGGATACTGTGAAGGTTTATTTAGAATAACAGAAGTAGCTTAGGAAGGAATGTAACAATAGATAGGAGAAAACAAAAGAAGAGAGGTGCCCAGAGAAGTTGTGGATGCCCAGTAATCCCTGGAAAGTGCTCAAGGTCAGATTGGATGGGGCTCTGAGCAACCTGGTCTAGTTGAAGATGTCCCAGCTTATTCCAGGGGTTTTGGATCTAATGGCTTTTAAAGGTTCCTTTCAACTCAAACTATTATATGATTCTATGAAAGGGAAAATGAATGTATAGAAATAGAATGAGATTTTAGAAGGAAGGAAGCTGGAGAAAGGAATATTTCTGAAGTAGGAGTGAGCTGATCAGAGAATTGAAAGAATTGAATCATCTGGCCAGGTATCAAAATGAGGGATTTAAGGGGCCACTTAAGTACACTCACATGGTGTTATATATGTGAGATGAGCCTGGGGGAAGGGGCTGCAGACTCCTGCTTTCTTTGGTAAGTCTGTATTTTATGTGCTAACTAGAATTTGAGAATGTAGGTGCAATTCTCTCTTCTATCATACATGTTCTGCATGATATATTGCAACTGAAACCAGTTTCTCCATTATATAGTGCAGCTGGAATTTGGCAGGTTTTGCCAAATGCAGAATTTCCTTAGGCTCATTGGTTCTCAGCGTTTTAACAAACCACACATCTGTCCCTTGAGAAAGCTCTATACCCTTGTTCAGCATCTGTGAAATGGAGCAACTAGCTCTGCTGTGGTACAGTGTTGTGAGAATTAATTTTTTTAAGACTGTGATAGTGCTATGTACACAAATCCCAAAGGTGAGAAGGTGAAGTCAGAAGCTTGTATTGCAGAGTGTACTTCAAAGCTGAAGAAATATTTTGGTGTTAAATTGAGAAAGAAGTTTTGCTCTACTGCCTCCACTAAATGTTGTAAGAAAGATTTCAATGATCCCTTGCCTCCTTATAGTGTTACATGCCAGTCATGGTAGCATTACAGAATTTGCATGCAAATCCCATTGATGGACACATTAAGTCCTTACTTGTCTTTTTAATAGGAAAGCAATTCAATATGTGTATTTTGATGCTTTTTCTGGTTTTGCAGTTTCAAAGGGGTATCTTTCATTGATATATGTTCACTACAGACTGAACATGAAAATGTTTTTATTAGACCTGATTTAAAAGTTATTTAAGTCTTATTATTGCAATATACTTAAAGATTTATAGTGATTTTTTTTGATTATGAATTGGAAAGATTTGTTAGCCTGATTTGATATGCTATTTTAGGATAGTGTAGGGTTTTCTGGGTTGGTCTTACAACAATTGAAATAATATTTGTGAAGCAATGCCTTAAAAGTAAATATCAGTCATTAAAGAGATTTACACATATACATATACACTTGAATGTAATGAATAAAAATCTACTTAAGGACAAATCTGCATGCTATGTAGCATGCTTATTGGGGTGAAATGAAGCCATAAGTATGCCAGAATTTCACAAGGGTTGTCTAAGCATGTCCAGACCTTTGTAATGGTACAAGGAAGGCATGTAATGACAAAGCTGTCTTCGAAGAATAAAAAAAGCATTATCTCTTTAGTACAGAGTTTTGTGTTTGTGTTTCACAGCTATGAAATCTTGAACCTTGACTGAGTTATGGTGTTCAATATAGTAAATAATATTAGAATTTTTCAGAAAATATCTCAAGAGTTCTTGGTAAGTGGTCAAACAGTGGCTTTGGCAGATGCAATCAGCAAACCAAGGTTACTGCCAGTAAGGTGGAATTTGACATCAAATTTGACAAAAAGATTTCTAGAGCGTGTCTAGAGGTGAGCTGGATGTGAGATTAAATCTGGGAGTGAAACAGCTCTACTTTCATTTATGTTTGTAAGAGTCTGTCTGATTTAGAGATGTAATCTCTCATCATGCTTAGGACAGATGTAGAATTCAATTAAGTTACCCAAAAGTTGGAGTCTAATGTCATTTAAGGTGCTATAGAGGTGTCTTTGAAATGCATGTGGAGACTGTCGAGTATTGTACAGGGCATTTATAGGGGAGACCAGCACTCTTCTGAACGGCAGCTGGAGGCCAGGTGGGATGCCCTGAGGAATCTGCAGTGATGGCAGATACCTGCACTAAGGCAAGGGAATCAATACCAAGGGGACTGGGGTGAGGTGAATTGTTCTCTGAACTCTTGATGGTATTCACTAGATCTTGATTTTATTGACTAGATCTCAGCTGACTGCTCTGGGATTTTAAATAGCTAAGGTAGAAGTAAATAGCTATGCTGGAAATTTAGTTGATGAAATTGGGAATGGAATTTAATCCTAACTGTAGAAAAAAGTTTGATTCATTTCTACTGTTTTTTTTAAATTTTTTTGTATTTTTTTTGTGTGTGTGTGTGTGTGTAAATAGTGCTTTAGAGACATAAAGGCAAAGATACCCTCAGCACAAACTGGTCTACTGAGTCTCTCATAGCATATATTAATGACCAACTAGTGTACTTTAACATTTTACAGGACACAGCAAAAGTGCAAAAAATTCCTCTAGTTCCTCTAGTTTCTTAGTTAGCTATAAAGGCTTAGATGCTGGATTCCTGACTAATTATGTAGAGAAATTATTGGCACATGTTGATTGATGGAGCTTGTTAACTCCAAAAAGTATAGCAGCAGTGTAATGCTGTGGAGTACTAGAGACTGAGAGAGCTTCTCTGCAGAAATCTTCAGATTGGAAAGACATTTTAAACTGAAATATGTTTCTCTGAATCAGTAATAATAATGCCCAAGTCCAAAATAAGATAGTGAAAGGCCAAATGGTGTATCAGATGCTGCTATTTGCTCCTAAGGGGCACACAGACAAAACTGTGGCTGGAGGCCTGAATAGACAAAAGCCAGGGCAGTTGCCTTTGGAGCTTCTTTGGGAGACAAAGCTAGACCATTCCAGCTGCCTATTTAGGCAGGAACTGTCTCAGCTTAAAAACAACCAGAGATACCACACCTCATGTTAAGAGAAGTGTTCCCTTTTCAACAGAGGAGTTCAAGTCCCGCAAATCTGCAAAGACACCATTGCTTGGGAAAGGGCCAGAAAAATACTTCCAAATGGCCAGAGAACTTTTTCAGTTTTAGAAATAATTAGGCCATTCATGAATATGTTGTCTAGCAAAAGTGGGCCATTAGATTTAATTAATACAGATGAATATTTTTGGTCTGATCTGAGAGTTTTTTTGGCTCAGATCCCAAACAATGACTTCCAACTACACTGTCTGATGTTGGAGTCTGTCCCTGTTCACTGAACCCTCCCATGAAATTACTAGACCTAGGAGTCAGGCTTTCAAAGCAGAAACTGGTTTGAATTATTGAAGAAAGTAAGTCCACTCAATAGAGCAATTGATTGCTAAAATTTCCCATTTTTCTCAGTTTTAGTATGACACAGTTAATTTACATTGTGCCTAACACAACTTTAAGAAATAATCAACCTTACACACACCTAATTCTATTGAATTTTTCTATCTGACATTCCAATAGAAAGGGTGAATTTTTAGTGAAAACAGCCTGGTTTGGTATTTATGACACAAGCATTGCAGGACTTGTAACCTAAAAATTAAATTGACCAAAAACAAATTTGAAAATTTTTCCACTGGGATAGATTGTATTTTAACAAGTAGTTCTAAGTAAGGGATGGTGAATACCTTCATGGTCCAAGGAAGATATTATTGCTCCCATTGGTAATAATTAGGTCTTGATACTAATTAGGAGCAAATTCTTGACCCTTACAAATATTCTGACAGGTTAAGCCTGACATGCTAGAATAAGAAGAGATGAAGCATCTTTTACTCTCTTTATTCTATTTTTGTCCAGGTTTGTTTTTCCAAGGCAGGATTTCCTGAGGTGTTTTTCTCTGTTGTGAAACAAATATATGGATGGCTATAAACGTGGCTGCAGGCCTCCTCTGTTTTGGAGACATTTAATGTTTCTGGTCATTGATCTTGAAGCAGGAAGGAGCATTGTGGGGTTAGGATATTTTGGTGCTGCAACAGACTACTTAGCATGGCATTGCAAACCAGCAGTGGCCTGTGGCTTAAAAGCCATGACATTGAGCACTAAAGTTATGCCTGTACTAGTAGGTAGTGCAGTGCAATGGGAACAAGTCCATGTAGTGAAAAAGTTGTTGCTGACCTGATGAACACATATAAATTTCTACATCTTATGGTATAGATCCCCCCAAAAGAAATGAGTTTCTCATGCTCTAAAACTGCTCTGCAATCCAAAGCACAACTATTAACTGGGGTCTGCTCAGTGCTTTTATTTGAAAGTAAATATTTGAAATAAAGTAGTAACAAGTTTTTTAACTGTTCCATGAAAACTCACACAGAAAGTTTGATTTTCATGTATGTTTTTCAAGTTGAAATGTTTCCCTTAAGCTTCCAGACATTTCAGTCTTTGAATATTTGAGGCATATTCATAAATGGAATAAACAGCAGAGGGTGTCTTTTGAGTGATGGGCACTTGGTATTATTTAGTAAACTTCATTATACAGGCATCAGCGCTCTAATTGTTTTGCAAGATGTAACCATCAATGCAGCTGGTGAAGAGTTCCCTTTCTTATCAAAAGATGATTGAAATTATTATATGCAAGGCTGTAAAGGCGTATTTTATGTTGAATTAAATTGATTAGAATGAAGACATGCATTTTTTCTAATAAAGTTTAATCCAGATTTTAGAAGGAAATTATCTCTACACACCACAGCTTGTGATATGAAATGATTTTTACTACTATAACCTTTGAGCCAAATAAAAACAGTAAGAACAGAGAAAGATTGGTTTATTAAATGTCAAGTAATGAAAACTATACAAAAAGTCTGGGTTTTTCATGCCAAACTTCTATTTTTCTTGTAGCCAAAGCAACGTACATCCATAGTATCTTCTCTGGAATTTCACCGAATGAATCACAGCCACAATTATTTTGAAATCAACCCATCCATTGGCTGTGCAAGTTTTATTTCTACTCCTGCAATCAGTCCAGCTAATTATTCCTTTGGATCTTTGGAATACAGTCTTGAAGAGAAAGAACTTCCAGGTATAGAAAAAAAAAGCTTACTTTTTCTGTCAACAAAGTTTTATAAAACTTTAGGTCTTTGGGTGTAAGTTGAAATTGCTGTTGTCTTTGGTAGTAAAATGCATTTATCATTAATACACAAAATTGTTCCTGATGTTTTTTCTTAGTACTCTACAAAGAGTTCTAATATTTTATGACCAGTATTATGAGACATACTTTTCTCCTGAATGTTATATTTTGAATAAAACAACTGTTATTTCCAGACTTGCCTAGAATTCAGGTATTGTAGTTTTTGAAATTATGATGATTTGTACATCTACTTTCATCACTGTGTGGTCAATATACTCCAATAGGATTTTGAATTGAAAAAATGTAATTAGAAATCATTATGTAACCACCAGTAAAGATGTGGAAGGGAAGATTTCTAAGAAACCTGTGATTGTTTCTGCAGTAGCAATGGGATTCATTAAAGTAAAACTTCAATGTATTTGCTCTGATGATAAGAGTTTGATAGAGTGATAGTGTGATTGTAATGGGGAAGGTTTTATCCCTAAATGGAGATTTACATAATGAAAATGCTTTAAAAAGGATTAAAGTATTTCTCTTTTCACAAAAAACTTCAAGAATCTGAAATTGTCAGTAAACCAAGTATTTACCTTTTCCCCTTCAAATTCCATATAAAAGTTGCTTTATTTAGGCTAAATTTGGGAAAGCTGATGTATTGAAACAAATGTCTTTGATAGCTAGTTTATGGGATCTGCAAATCAAGTTTAAAAGGGTATTGTATTTAAAATATAAATAGGAGTAGATTACCGTAAAATAAAAATAATACAAATGTTGAAATTCAGAGCAAACTTATCAATTGGTTTTTGTAGCTTTGGTCTTGAAATGAGATGAATCCTCTTCATTCCTAGTTGGTAGAATTTAAAAATTCTGAAAAGTGTTGCTTTTAAATGATAAAAAAAAAAAAAAAATCATACCTAGATCAATAGAAAACTATATGTTTTGGGAACTATTGTGAAATAAGAGAGAGAAATCCTATCTCCTTTGATGAAGAGAGATTTAAAATGATCAGAGGTTATTCATATTTGTTTTTTGGATTATAATATAAACAAAGATAATATGTGCAATTTTCTTTGAAACTAAAATAATGTGCTTATATCATGGATATAGGAAATATTTTCAAACTTACATGGAAACAATTAATTTGAACAGTATCTTTTATTCATAGGTCTGGGATAATTTGATTCTTTAACATTTGGAGTGTTTTCTGTTGTTACTGGTTTTTTTTCTACTGTAAATTCTCCTCAGTAATCACGATTTATTTTGGGTAGTTGAATTATACTAAGTATTTCTTGATGTTCAAAAGCAAAGATAAGAAAACAGAAAGAACATTCACAGACTTCAGATAATTAACTTCTCCAGATTTTTGCTGTTCTGCAGTTCTGTTAAAGCTCTTCATAGTATCTGAAGTCGTTTGACTCGTATCTTCTTTGGTTAAATCTACAATGGACTACACTCAGAAACTTCTAATTACTATGTTTAATTTTATCTGAGACTGGGACTATAAGGTCATGCTTATTAGAATTTTATGCTTCTAATTTGTGGATGATTTGATTTATGGATTGAGTGAAAGCTGAATTTCCTTTATCTTTGCCCAGAAAACTAAGAAAAAATAACAGGCAAAATGACTGAATTTCAAGGTATCTTCTACAAACTCTTCAATGGTACATTTTACAATCAGTAAATCAAGTAATTTACCATTAATAAATGAAATATTTACAGTAAAATTAAAATTCCACCCTCTATTTTCAGCTGGTATTCTAGAATTATTTAAGTAATATACAGGATCCTATATTAGACAAAATATTAACCTGAATGAAAAAACCCACATTTTATTTTAGTTTATTTAGTTTATTTAGTTCATTTAGTTAGTTTTGACTCCTTACAGATAGGTGATGCACGGTAACTCTGCAAAAGACAAGGAGTACAAATATGGAAAGACAATAACAAAATCTGGAAGGAACAGATCAAAATTGTCTGTCTTGAAAACGCTTTTACAGCTTGTCTCTTATCTAGAATGTTAAAAACTGAACCTTGAATAATAATGGTCAGCAAGGAGCAGCAGAAACAATGTTTTGTGTTCTGCTACAGCTTTTCTCTGCTTTAACTAGCTGTTGTTTCACTGAAAGGTCCCTTTTTTCTTTTCAAGATCTACAATGACAGTAAGAACAATTCATCATGTGACCTAAATATAACCTTAAAATTCATGGAAAATCTATATCCTAAAATAATGGTTAGTTTATTACTAATTGAAGATTTGTGTGCATTTTAGTGAAACAATTAAAATGCATTTTACAGGATTTCTTAATCAGAAATTTCCATCTAAATAAGGCATCAGTATTTCTATTTCCCTACTCAGTTTCAGTGCTTTTTATGTCTTCTTCAGGAAATTTGTAATTATTCATTATAATTGAGATTAAAATGAATTAATACAAAAAATAATTATTCTAATTCTATAATTTCATAATTTTACCTTTGCCTCGGTAGTCTGCTACCAAAGAAGAAACAACCTGTTGCTGATGGTTCCTTTTTATGTTTGGAGATCAGTTTTACTCTTGGTGTTTGTTAATTCCCTACAGCACCTGATTTGAAAGAGGGGTCCTGATTTTTAAAAAGTGGGGTTTTTTATCAAATAGAAAAACACTAAATTCTTCCACAGATATATTTTATATCTGAGACATGTTATCTGAATGACAGTATATGACAACATTTCTGATTAATTATCTGGAGAACAGGCCACATACAATGGCAAATATGTGCTTCAGCTTTGGCGTCAGATAGCCTTGTAGAGTAAACAAATCAGGTGTGTTGCATGCATGGATGGCAGCAGATACCAGCAGATACCTTAATATCAGGGTGCCTGATGTAAGGATAAAGGTTCTGTCCTCTGTTTTGAACTTTAGCTGGTGGAAGAAGCTGCAACAAGGTGATGGCAACAGTTCTCTCACTCCAGTAAGTGTAGGGCAGACTGCACGAATGCAGCTATGGCGTGACCTATTCTCAGGGCTTTGTCTGGTGCTAGATCATTGACATCAGAGAAGCATTCTCAAATTCTAGGTGAATGGTGATGCTTTCATAGCATTGCATTTCGCTTCAAGTTGTGCACCAGTGCATCCCAGTAATGTCAGCTACTACACATAGTAGTGTAGTAAGTTACTGAACTAAAAGTCATTGCACAGGGAAGTCACTTCTATATGTAACCCTGTCCCAGCAAGATGTGTGTAATTTTCTTGATCATCTGAATGTATGTTTAGTAGGTCTCCCGTAAGATAACACACATGAAAAGTTAAATACCTGATAATCAAGTGATTGTTTGTGAGATGTTCCTCATGTTACTTTGGCCATGAACTCAGACCACAGATGTGCAAGATAATTCACTCCAGGAGAGGGCAGCCTGGGCTTTCAGGGAAATGCCTGTCTAACAGATCTCTCTGCCTTGTTTTCTATATCCCTCAGGTTCTCTTGAAACCATACATCTTAAAGATTGAAGGCAACAAAATTGTGGCCTTTTGGTAACATGAGCTTGGCACAGTCAACATTTGCAGCTGAAACTGTCAGTCTGGATGATTTTCTTTTTCATTTTTGCTTGATCATTCCAAATAATGGATCTTTCTCTAACCCATATAATTTCATTATGTCGTCTTGTCCTGAGTATAATTGGGCCATGAAATTAAAAAGACAGTCCTGCAGAGGTTCTTGTTCTGTTTCAGATCAAAATAGGTCTGTACTCAGCTTCATGTATGCAGCAAAAATATCAGCAGATGTCTGAAGGTAATCGCATTACAATCTTTATTTTCAGTCCATGAAAATCTGTACATTTTCAATAAATTCAGTATGCCATTCATTGTAGAAGAGGATACAGTTTTTCCTCTCATCTTCTTGTGGTGGTGAGAAGTATTCACTGAGTTTATCTCTTAGTTAGAAAGTCTGTCTCCACTGGAAAGGACCTTAATATGCTTCTATATGCCATGTTCTCTGTCTGTGAGAGCTATTATTTAATACATTTAAGAAGGCTACATATTTCCTTAAAACAGCCCAGAATGTAAAATTCAAAAATGTAAGCTTTAATGTGTAGACTAAAATTTTTTTCTCTTCTACATTTGAAAAAAATTGTATTTGAGTCACACCTTTGATTCCTTCTATAAGTGTTTACAGATCTTTCTTTACAGTATGTGTCTGATCAAATTGTTCTGTCTCACAATCCCTATTTCAGAAGCAAAAGCAACCTTAAAAGCTTAAAACTTGCAGTTTTGTCTTTTTCTTTTGAGACAATCAAGAAATACAGCCTGTTAAAATTGGAAACTTCTTTCAGAGATCAGGCCTAAAATTCTTGGCTATGCTGCATTCCTATATACAGTCAGAATTTATTCTGGTGCAGGAATATTTCTTTATGTGACAATAGTAAAGCTGCTCTTCGAAGTAGGTCACATATTTGTCAGCATTACTTTCTCGTTCAAGTATCTCATATATTAAGAGCTGATATGAAAAGATCAAACTCTGATGTCTATGTAGACTCTTCAAGCCTTGTTTCTTCAGTTATAAAAGGTTTTGGAGTGAGTAGAAGTGAAATACAAGATGAAAGGAATACAAAGAAGAAGAAAGTAACTTTTATTGCCAGAGCATTTTTTTAGGTGTGCTGTATACAAGTTTGTGGTACACTGTTAACAAAACCTCACTAATTAGCAAAAGAACATGGATTTCAAGTGACAGAAAAGGGAAAAATATTGGCTTGTAATGAAATAAGAATAATCAACAAATTTGGTAGATAAAGCATTCCCATCTTCTTTATCTAAACAGCGAGCAAGGTAATATCTGAAAAAATGGGTATTACCAGTCTGTACCAACTTGTCATTGATTGAAAGTTCTTTTCCAGATGAAATGGCTCTGGAGGTCAAATTCAGACCCTCTTTTATCTTTCTTCATCATCTTCTTGATTACAATGCATTCTGCCAAGGCAT